CTCGAGGTTGAAAAGGATCTTTTTAGACATCAAGTGAACAAATTACCATTGAACTAGTCAATGGATGCACTTTATCCACATATAATCATTGTAGTACTTTTTTTATATATGTTGATTGATGAATAAAAATTCCATCTTTTAAGTGTTTGAACTGTGAGTCGAGATAAAATTTTATTTCTTCAAGATCTTTCATATCAAATTCTCATTTTAAATAATTTATGAAACTTAAAATCTTTTCAAGAGTTTCAATTATATTTAAACCATCAACATATATAACAATTATCATAAACCACTTTTTGAATTTTTTTTATAAAAGCACAAGGACAAATTGGGTTATTTTTATAACCTTTTTTTAATAAATAATCACTAAGATAATTATACCATATGCGTTTAGATTGTTTCAATCCGTATAGAAATCTTTGTAATTTAATTGAATAGATCGCTCGAGAATGTATTTTACATGCTTTAGGCATTTTAAGTCATTTTCGGACTTTCATATAGATATCATTATCAAGCAAACCATATAAATAGGTTGTGATCATATCCATTAAATGCATATGAATTTTTTCATATGTTGTCAACCTAATAAGATAACGAAATGTAATTACATCCATTACAAGATAATATGTCTCCTCATAATCAATGCCAAGTCTTTGTGAAAATCCTTGTGCTACAAGTCTTGCTTTGTATCTCATAATTTCATCTTTTTCATTTAGTTTTTACACAAATACCCATTTATATCATACTAGCTTAACATCTTCGAGTGTTTTAACTATGGTTCAAAAACTACTTATTTCATGAGAGACTTTAATTCTTTTTAAATTGCATATTTTCACTTAGGTCAATCATCTCTATGTCGACATTCTTCAATAGATTTAGGGTTAGGATCATTATCCAAAATATCAATTGTAACATTATATGCAAAAATGTTATCGATGAATATTTCTTTTCGATCCCATTTTCTCCCTGTGTTAACATTATTTATCAAAATTTATTGATTTTTCTCAAGCATTTGGGCTTCTTCCGGAAACTTGTTATCAAAAGTATTTTGGATCGTTTTATTTGCCTCCTTTATATTTTCATCTTGATTATTTTCTCTTTTTTTCTTTTGAGGAGTTTTTATCTTTAGAATCGATCGATCTTTCACGCTTCGGGCATGCTTTAGATTCATTTGTTATAACATTAATAGGTTATCCTACAAGAACATCGATTCTAATGTGAGCATTCTTAATAAGAACATGTGATTTAGTTACTCTTTTTGAATCGGATAATGCATTTGGTAGTTGGTTTGTAAGATTTTGTAAATGAATTATCCTTTGAACTTAAAGTTCAAATTGTTTTGTACGGGGATCGAGATGATATAAAGATGAAGTATTCCATATAATTTCTTTTTTCAACATTTTCAATCGCTTATTCTATTTATTTTCTCCCTCTAAGGTTGAAAAAATTATTTCATCAAAATGACAGTTGGTAAATTGAGCCATAAAAACATCTCCTATTAATGGTTCAAGATATATAATTATAGAAGGAGATTCATCTCCAACATATATTCCCAATCTCCTCTAAGGACCCATTTTAGTTCGTTGTGGAGGAGCGATTGGGACATATACTCGTACATCCAAAAATTCTTAAATGAGAAATATTAGGCTCATGACTAGAAATCAATTAAAAGGGAGATAATTTTTTATAACTTGTGGGCCTAATATAAAAAAGTGTTGCTACATATAAAATTCATAACCTCAAATATAAACAAGGAGTTTTGTTTTCGTAAGTAATGGTCTAGCTATCAATTGAATGTTTTTTATAGATGATTTTGCTAAACCATTTTAAATATGAACATGAGCAACATGTTGTTCAACTTTTATTCCAATAGATATGTAATACTAATTAAACGCTTGAGAAGTAAATTCACCAACATTATCAAGGAGAATTATTTTAATAGTATAATCTATAAATTGTGCTCGTAATTGAATTATTTTAGCAAGTAACCTCGAAAATGCTAGGTTTTGAGTTAATAATACATATACATATGACCATCTTATAGATGTATCTATTAAAATCATAAAATATCTAAACGGTCCACATGGTGGATGAATCGATCCACATATATCATCTTAAATACGTTTCGAAAAATGATGGAGAGTCAATCCTAATTTTATTTAGTGATGGCTTAAAAATAAGTTTATCTTGAGAATACATAAGACATGAAAACTTATTAGATCGAAGAATCTTTTGGTTCTTATATAGATGTCCATACGAATTTTCAATAATTTTTTACATCATAATGAATCCAAGATGGCCAAACTGATCATGTCACGGAATAAAAAAATTAATAAACTTCGATTTACTATGGAATTTGTTTCAAATATTTGAATATTTGTATAATAAATGCTAGAAAAGAAGACATGTAATTTCTCCAATGCATATTTTTTACATGATGTAAGTTTTGTAATATGTAATTATTCAATATTCTCAACATTTGTTGTCTTAATATGATATCTATTTAAGCGAAAATCTTTAAAACTCAACAAATTTCTATGGGACTTAGAAGAGAATAATGCATAATTTCTAATGAAACTTGTCCCTTTAGGTAATAATACATTTGCTCTTCCGGAGCCTTCAATTAAATTAACACTCGCTAAATATAATGTTAACATTAGCCTTGCCCATCATTAAATTAAAGAAATACCTTTTATTTTTAAGTATAGTATGTGTTGTTGCACTATCCACAAGGCATAAATTCTCTTCTATAACGTTTAAACCAATTACAAACTTGATAATATTGATATATTCTTCACAAACACAAAAAAACAAATAAATAAAAATTATAACGATGAAATTTTATATAAAAAAACATAAAAGTTCTTTATTTATTAATAGAAAAGGTAACAAAATCTCAATGATTATCATTAACCTAATGATCTTTTCTCTCATAATCTTCAAAAAAATCAACAACATTTAAATGTGTCAAGTTACCGAAACCTTTAAAAGGAATATTGTCATAATCATTATTTTGATATATAAAATTTACTTCTATATCACTTTCTTGCTTTTTCAACGTGGCTCGATAAAGCTCAACTAGATGCTTTGGCATACGATAGGTACGCGATCAATGTTCATTCATACTACATCTATAAAATTCATTTTAAGAATGTGAACTTGATCCACTTTTATGCTTTTTTTATTTCTTTTCATAATTTATCCACTTCTAATGGTGGGGTGTATTATTATGATCATCACGATTATAATGATAATTATTCCGACTATAACTATAGGTATTGTCACGACCACGACCACGTCCTCGTCCATGCCTAAAATTATTATAAGATGTCACATTCATTTCGGGGAATTGAGTGGACCTAGTTGGACGAAATTCATGATTTTTCATTAGTAGCTCGTTATTTTGTTCAGCCATAAATAGGCATAAAATTAATTCGAGTATTTCTTAATTTTTTTTTATATTACTACTGCAGGAGCATATTTGAGACACGAAAAGTAGAGAATGTTTTCTTTAATATATCCGAATCGGTAATATTTTATCCACATAATTTTAGTTAGGAACCGATTCTAAATATTACGAATTATATTCACTTACTATTTTGAAATCTTATAATCTTAAGTGCATCCAATCATAACGAGCTTTTGGAAGAATTATCATCTTTTGGTGGTTGTACCTTTTCTTTAAAAAATTTTCACAAGTTCAAGTGGATCTTTTATTGTTGAATATTTAGTTTTCAAATCCTCATGAAGATAATGATGAAGGAAGATGATGCCTTAGCATGGTTTTGCAAGGATTTTTTATTATCATCCATGATTGTTTGTCTAAAACCATTAGCATTTAAATGTATCTCGACATGAAGGACACATGATAAATAATTCTTGCCCAAAATTTCAAGGACCTCAAAATCAAGCTTTGTGAGGTTTGACATGATAAAAATTCTATAATATAAGATATAATGATGATGTTAGAAAATAAAAACAAACATAAAATTCAAACTTCTCAAAACGAGCATGCATCGGATTATTAAAATATATATTAGATTATTTAAGGTTTTCAAATACATACTAAATGTACCATTAGATTTAAAGTAAAAGATAAATTAGATACATATTTCTTAATAGCTTAGATGATTTACGTCATTTGGTAGAACAATCGTATTGATAACGTGTTATAAAAGAAATAGAAATAATGAGAGAATTGAAAGGAAGGATGACAAGAAAATGAATTCACTATAAAGTGAATACAATTGATAAGAACTTCAAATTATTCTCTTAATCTCTCTAAAAACTTATACACTAAATAATAAACAATGAAGCCTATTTAGAATTAGAAGAGACTATTAATAATTAAAAGTACATAAATTGTTGAATCAATCACATCACCCTTTTGATTTCTCATATTAAATGATGAATTGAATCACATTAAGAATCATGGGTAATAAGGATATAAAAAGTAGATAAATATTCATATAGACATTCGTTATTTCATAATAATAATCAACTAATATTAAATTAATGAAATTCCTTTTTGAATCTTGTACTTAAATCTCGGTTGACTGACACATAAATACATGATGGACCACTCGATTAATGGGTTTTATTTTTAAATTTTGCATTAAAATCTTTATTGATTGACTCATAAATTTCTTTTAAAAGCCTTTTTTTCCCCCCTCTTCGCCATCCAATTTAAAGACCCGACAAATTCAATAATTTTTGGTTAATCCATTTGTGTGGATCCATAATATTCCCCTAGGACCAAAACCATCATGAACCACCCGATCTTTCCCTTCTCCCTAGCCTGCGCTTATTGAAGTCCAATCATCAGATGACATCCGTCTTTCCACGCGTCACAAACAAGTCTTCTCTGTTCCCCTCCTCTCTCCCTATATATAAAATTCCAATTTCCGTTTCTCTCCCTCCATCGCTCCGTGGCAACCTTCCTCTTTTCTCCTCCCAACGGAAACTGGCTTTCCTTTCTTTCTCTTAAACAAATCCCAAAAATGGCAACACCAACCTCGAACCCTAACCCCGAAACCACCGCACCAAAACCCATCGTCAACATAGACGACACGGCGGAGCTCAGGAAGGTCTTCAACCAATTCGATGCAAACGGCGACGGCAAGATCTCAGCTTCTGAGCTCGGAGAAGTGCTGAAATCCATGGGGTCCTCCTACACCACGGAGGAGCTCCGTCGCGTCATGGAAGACGTTGACGCCGACAAGGACGGGTACATTGATTTGGCTGAGTTTGCCCAGCTGTGTCGATCCTCCTCCAACGCTTCCGCCGCCTCCGAGCTTAAGGATGCGTTCGATCTGTATGATCAGAATGGTGACGGGCTGATCTCCGCGGCGGAGCTGTACCAGGTGCTGAACCGGTTGGGGATGAAGTGTAAGGAGAACGAGTGCATAAAGATGATTAAGAGTGTTGATTCTGACGGTGATGGGAGTGTTAATTTTGAAGAGTTCCAGAAGATGATGGCTGCTAACATCAACAAAGGATCTGCTGTTGTGGGTCCCTAGATCTTAATTTGTGACGGTTGTGATTGATTTGATCAGTGGATGATGATGAAGTTTAAATTTAATATAGTTTAGATTAGAAGAAATCTGGGGTCATGTCGCTAACTGGGTAAATGGAAATGGGATTGTGATTTTAAAGCTTTTTAGTCTGTTATTAGTACTTTTTAAATGAAGAATGAAATCAATCAAATGACACTTTCATGTAGTTTTTTTAATTTTGTGTTTCCGTGGGTTGAATTTTTTTTTTTAAGGCAATTAGGTAAGAATTTAGTTTATTGATTGGATTGAAATTCATCAAAAGGATTTTAGTTTTACCAAATGATGGAATATGCAAAAGGGGAGGAATTTGATTTGTTGATTGTGGTTGAATCTTGAGAACAAGAGCCAAAAGCATTCTAGTTTGCTTTACCAAATGGTTTAATGGGATTGGTTTGCTAGAGAGATATGGTTTTGTGTACTATCGCTCTGTCAAAGAAATTTACATTATGGTTAGTTTATGACTTAATAATATGCCTCTTAAAGAAAGGAAGGACAGAAATTATAAAATATTGCTGAGGCTGTTGAAGAAGAACATGCAACGAGAATCTTCAACCCTTTTTTTTTTTTTTTTTTGTAAGTTGGAAATTTCTGTGTACTGAGAATTGAAAGTTATGTAAATATTCTGCATGGGAAGGCGGACTGGCAGAGTTTCTGTACATTGAACAAACGATGAGTTACAGGAAATATATATGTATATATATATATATTCATTCCGATACCAATGCACTCGAAATCTCCATTTACCGGTCTCTGTCGTCAGCTATGAAATGACATCTTCTGTTGATAATGGCCACATACACCACTTGCTATTGATTTTGCCCACCACCATCCCGTTTCTGAAACTTGCAATTCACCCATCACCATTCATTATAACTTTATCTAACTATTTGAAATCATTCATTATAACTTTATCTAAATATTTGAAATTTGAAATTTCAGAAACGGGATGGTGGTGGGCAAAATCAATAGCAAGTGGTGTATGTGGCCATTATCAACAGAAGATGTCATTTCATAGCCGACTGGACAGAGACCGGTAAATGGAGATTTCGAGTGCATTGGTATCGGAATGAAAAAGGCTTGTTGCCAACATCTAATTTATGTGATCAAAGTATTTTCATAAATTGATTTGAAAATATTTTTATTATCAGATAGAAAAAAATAATTTTATTGTATGGATTATTTTGTCAATGGACTCGTAGCTTAAATGTTATCTATGTTTTTCCCCCTTAAGTTCAACCCTCTCATTATATATATATATGAAAGAAGTTCCATCTCTTTCTTTCAACATTAAAATAAATAAAAAGAAAAGGGAGTTTCTTTTTTATTATTAGAAAAATCTAAATTCATTTTCATTTTCATCTTGAAAGGTAAGTTAGTTTGATTATATGTTAACTATAGTTATTAAACATAGTCATAAAATGCTGGGATCACTATCTTGATCATGTATTGGGGAAGATACAAGGAAGAGAAGAGAGGCTTATTTGCCCCATTAATTTTCTCAAACAAATCATAATAGTCCTTGTTAGTTTTAATATTTTAAAATTTCCCTCCTTATCTGTAAATTCTACTTCCGCCTCTACTCATGTCTCCATATTACTATAGGATAGGATCAATAAATATCATAACTTCCGCCTCTACATAAGTCTTCAGTATTATCTTTACTGTGTCTATTATTATTATTATTATTATTTGTATAATATCAAATTCTCTAATATATCATTTTATAAGTTTTTCAATTGCATTGAGCAATATAAGTACAATTTTGAGTAATCTTGAAATGATTTTTAAACGGTTCAGTAAGAAGATAAAATTTTTTATTTCTTAAAATTTTAATGGTCGAGTTATTTCTAAATCTTTTTATTTCTTAAAATATTTTGAGCACTTTTTTTTTATCATATTCTTTACATATCTAGCTCAAAGGCGTAACTCAAAAGTATTTTTGTAATAAAAAAATAAAAAAAAATCTAACACCCTTTTGACTCGAGAAAGAAAAGTATTTAAGTAGCACCCTCCGACAAAGTTCAAGCAATGTACATTAATGCAATAAGAGCAGTTGGATGGGTATTATTAATTTTCATCACAACTTCGCACGATATTCATCTTTTCACACAGTTATTGCATTCAAAATGAAAAAAACTATATAATAATTACATCAAATTCGAACATTTTCTCAATAGAATATATCAATTTTTTTTATCATTTTAGTATATTAATTTTTATGAAAATATCAACAAAGTTTTTCTATTCAGTTTTTTGCCTAGTGATGATGTGACAATTAACAAAAATAAATAAATAAATAAATGATTATATTTTTTTCTCCTCCTAAATTGTTATTATTTTTAACTATTAATTAAAAATAAGAAAACAAAGCATTTTGATTAAAAAATATATTTTTTTCTTTTCTCCTCCCAAGTCCCAAATTACTTTCTTTTTTAATTAATAATTAAACAACAATGATAATTTGAGAGGAGAAAATAAAAAAATAACAATATAATCATTTAGTTTTTTTTGTTATCTGTCATATCATCATTAGACAAAAAATTAGACAAAAAAATTTGATTGAAATTTAAAAAAAATTAATATACTGAAACGAAAGAAAATAAAACATTATACCCTACTATGCTAAAAAGTTAAAACTCATCAAACGGACAAAACTCTTAGGTCAGATATTAAATCAAATTATATTAATGAGTAACCTTATTTCCATGTATGTTTTGTACCAATTTATCTTCCGTGAGCCGTACGTTCTTAAGATATGTTCTTTCTATAGACACATCTAAAGAAATTCTTACACAGAACAGCTTCGGCAGGAGGAAAGGATATAAATAAATGCATGTTTGTGGTCCGGTAGAAAAGAACGATACATAAATGTGTACGTTTGTGCGTTTCCATGCAACTATTTAATACTCGCACTCACAAGCATACAAAACGTATAAGAAAAGGAATGAACTTATTCACAAGAAAATAATCTAGCGGTTGGTGATCCTAACCCTCGTAAAGTAGGCGATGTATTTGGAAAACACGAGTATCTGACAAGAGATTGAGCTTTTGCCAAACATATCCTGTACCATTGGGCTTTTGCCCCATGCAAGAGGCCTCCATCAGTTTGGACTCGTCATCGTCAGGTCATATTACGAAGAGATGGGCACATCAAAAAACTTGTAATCTAGTAATAATAATAATCTTTTATAAGAGATTATAAATTTAAATTTTAATAGGTTAATTTTGTTAAGAATCTTAAGTATTTGAATTAAAAAAAATAAATAATAAAAAGTCCAAAAAATGAAGAGAGGAACAAATAGTTGTTCGATTCAATTTTCGATTAATCGAATTAAGAAAAATAAAAACAAAAATCTAAAAGAATTAAATTTTGGTTTTTTTTTATTAAAAACCAAAATTTAGGTTTATTTGATTTAAACCTTTTTTTTTTTTTTTTGAGTGGGCTTTGGGACTTTATTTAGAGCTTTTTTTTTTTTTTCAAACAAATAGGCTGGACCACTGCCCATCTTACCTACGTCCTTGCCTTAAAAAAACATTACCCAATTTACTCTAAGCATGGCCCATCACAACTGGGAAAACCAATATATGGAATTGATGACTTAGCTATATTTTCTTCATGGATACATTAGCTATCAATGGATAAGTTCGGGGCTCAGTTTTCTTCCCAACATATGAGAGCTAAACGGGAAAGTGATCACTGGAATTCAATGATGCTGATTAACAGCAAAGAATATTTAATGGAAATGGTAAATATATAATCAAATGGCTACAGTTATGTATTTGATGGCATGAGAAATAAAATGGCAACTGCAAGGAGGAGCCAGAAGAACCTCTTTGGTTCTCTGTCAAGGTCAAAATGGTTTTATTTCAACTTGAGACCATTTGTTTGACTATGAATTTATTTTCGACACATGGTAATGTGTTTTCTTGTTTTGACTTAAAGCTTAAATTTCAAAATGATTAAATTCATGTAGACTAACTAAGCTGCTAAAACCTTCAGGAACAACCCCAGATAACTTAATTCTCTTCCAAAACAACAACCTCCCAATACTATCCAGATAACTTATTTGGATGTGTGTCTTCTCAGAGATGTGCAACTATTTGCTTGGACACTGATTGTCTGCTAACATGCCAATGCCATAAGAGCCTGCAAAAAGGACAATTAGTGAAATCATTATATTTTAGTTTGCTACTTTGCTTAATCAAAAATTCGAAATTTAGAGTGAATAAATACCAGAAATCACGAGCACAGATTTTTGTATCTGCAGCGTTCCAAAATCTCCCAACTGCACTCAAATTCTGCTTACTCAAATCCAGGGTTGTAAGCTTCAACAAGCTCCCAACAGTAGCGGGAAACCTCCCCGAAAGCCCACAAGCACAATAGTCTCAAAACTATCAAAAACCTTCAAAGTCCTCTATATTATAAGGAACCTCCCCATAAAACTTTGTTAAAACTCAAACTCAAAGTGCTCAAATTAGTCAACTTCATTATCTCCTCAGACACATTTCCACTCAAATTATTATTCTCCAATCTCAAAGTTTCAAACTCAAAAAGACCTCCAAAACTCGACAGAATCGAACCCTAAAACGAATTCCCTCCTAAGGATAGCAACTTCAACTTCTTTAATTCACTGAAAACAAAGGAATTGGACCATCAAACCGATTCCCTTCGAGATGAAGAACTTACAAAGAAGTACATTTTACAATCTGGGGGAGTAAGGGTGGCTGGATTGGGTAGGGGGCTACTGGAGGGGGAGGGGCGTGGCTTTAGACTGTGATTGATAAGGATGAGAGACAGAAAGAGTATGTCATGTGTGTGCGCCTTAGGGTTATTATGTTTTTTAATATATATATATATATATATAAAGTTTTCGTTTTAAACCGAATTAGAATTCTCAAAAACAAAATCGAAATAATTTTGGTTTTTTATTTTTTTCCTCAGAATTTTTACTTAAAAATCGAAC